CCCTAACTCGCATCTCTCGCTCTTGTACTTTGTAAGTCTCGTTTTCTGCTCGTTTTTCGAGTGCAGTTTCTGCGGGGCATTATCTGCATAAAATACTCTACTTACATCACCTAGGTCCTGCATTCTGAACCTAATCCCATTTACCATAGAGATATCCGTTGGCCTAACATCTTGAGGAGTTCTGCGGATACTAGCAAGTGGCTCTTGATTGATTGGGAAGACTCTTCCATCGCTCCAACACGCGCTGCCCCTCATCTCAATTCCCTCAGTCACCACCCGAAAGTATTCTCTGATGGACATGGTGCAGAGGTCGACCTTTGGTCTGTTGGGAAGCTACTATCTTCTCAGGAGCACAGATATCGCCGCGGAGACGCCCGTCCTATAATGGATATTTCAGCGGACCTTGTCACTGGGCGCATTCAGTCAGCGGATGTAGCCCTTCAGCGGATCCAAGTACGTGATCTTAATGCTAGGTCTTAACAGTTTCTTACTCTACTAGAGCATTGAAAGGTTATTCATATCTTTAGGGGCCTAGCCCATTGCGAGAGAAGGGTAAGGTGAGCTGAAAGGTATCCGCTGGCATATATGGCAAATGCTTACAACACTCTGATTGGAACGAAGTGATTTCCGGGAATTTATACTATTCGTGTATCCGAATAGCTATTATTGTAAACTACAAGGCAAAAGTAACGAGCAGTCCGTAGGCTTGGTTTGCTTTTGGATTTTCTGCCTTACCACGTTGTACTTCTCGTTCATGAGTATCGTACGACCTACCTTGTAACAATGAAAAACTGATTTGCCGTTGAACCGTGCATGTTGGCCGGGAAGCTGTCGAAAGTGGGGGTTGGAAGTCGGGAACAGCAGCCGGCTGAACCGAGGAGGAATAAGGATCGAGATTTAGGCCCGAGATGCCCATGTGCTGGGTGTAGCTAAGTGGGGCTTGCAAAATTTGCCCATTTCCGCATGGGTTAACGAGTTTCAGGTGGACATGGCACTCTCTCGGGAGCACGGACACAAAGAGGACGTCGGACGGCGACGACGACTTGTGAAAACTGTCCGCTGGCGGGTGAGAATAGTAAGCGAAAAGAGTTGGACAGTCAAAGAAAAGCTCCCTCAGTGATTATTCCAGATTCCGAATATTGTACGTGTATTTAGGGATGCGTACTTTGGGATTCGAATTCCCACGTGGAAACGGAATCGATACTTAGCAACGGCGTATGCTTCGAAGGGACTGAGTGACACGTGGGAGTGAGTGATAAATGGGGGGGCGAGCGAAGACGAGTGAGCGAGCCTTTTTTGATGGGACGGGCGTTTGACAACGCGAGTATCGGCTTGAGGTAGTCGCCTGAACGGACACTGGCCATCTCCGGTGTGTCGAAAATTCTGGGAAAAATGGGGAAATGGTAACAGGGATGAAGGGGAAATAAAGAGCCTTGCAATCTATCAAATTTGAGGGGAGGGGTAGGCCTGGTAAGCGAACATCCCTGACTTTGGGCGCTTTCGGGATGCGGTTGAATGGAATTTGACTTTGTTCGGGAGAGGTGTGTCGCAGGATAGAATGGAAAGAAGCTTTTGTCGAGTGAGTGCGAGAGAGAGCCTGTGGTGATGTATGATGGCGTCCCTGGCTAAATTGGCCTGATCATTGAGAAACCCGCAACCAGCAACAGCGCAACCCGTAGTTCACACCCACGAGTGCACTCTACTGTGAACTATATGCCAGGAGAGGGGGTGATGGGTGCCAGAAATGTGGCGGCAGACAGGTTCTGACAAGGCACAAGCGTTCATAGTAGTCCAGGACGGAGTAGAATCGCACCAAGAGGCTAGGCGCGACGGGAGCCGAGAATGGAGATTGCCTGGAAGAATATAATGACGATTGAGTATTGATGCACGAAGAGAGGGGGCTACGGTGGTGGTGGTGATGATTGTGGTCAACTGAGCTCCCAAAGAGTTGCAGCTCCGTCGGCAGGTCTGGGCCTGGGAGAAAACGCGATGAATGATACCGTAATATACGCATAGATTGTGTACATACCAGAGACCCTATATCTTGTGAAACGCTACGAGCATTGGAAAAGAGAACAAGGGGCCTTGCTCGGGGTGATGGCACGCGACTCGGAGGATACTAGGACGGAACGGTGACACAACAGGACCCGATAAGAGTGTCCGAGTCGTTAAACTTTTCGCGACATTAGCGAGAATAACTGTGGCTGCAGGTGGGGGGATTCAAAGGAGTGCCTGGCCACTTGCGACTTCTTTGGATTGTGAATGGCCGATCCGTTGAAGAGCGAAACCCAACCGACGACACACACGGGCTGACAAAAAATAATCCATTCAGTGGCAGTAAACGGCCAGGGAGACGAGGGGACACGAAGGGGAGAGAAGCACACAACACGGCTGCTCCTTCTTTGCTCTCTACCTTGTCCATCTCGCGCGACTCTATCCCCCTTTTCTACTATACTCTACTGCTAGCAACATCGACGAGCTATCGCAGGCTTTGCGCATCGACAGGGGCTCGTCACGCGTCCAGTTCAACCGAACCCGCTACCGGATCGAGCTAGACTAGAAATACAGACGTCCCGCATCCAGCCGACCTCGTCCATTAACACCCCCTAACTCGCATCTCTCGCTCTTGTACTTTGTAAGTCTCGTTTTCTGCTCGTTTTTCGAGTGCAGTTTCTGCGGGGAATCGCTTGATGAGCTTACCATTTCTCCTTTTCGCCTTCGCTCTTCGCACGCCTGCCCTGTTCTGTATATGCTGCTCCTGGCCACCCTCGACGACACCGACACTGAAAACCTCGATCAATGCGACTTTGCTCCATTTGGGTGCCTCGTCTGGATATTCTCCCAATCTTACTCCCTCTCCCCGGTGGATATACTTTCACTCTCTTCGCCCCCCGGGTTCTCCCGGTTTTTGTGTGCAACTGTGCATCCCTGTGATCCTATTGCATGTTTCTCCACTCGCTCGCCCATCGACCTCTGCTGGTCCATGAACGATCACTTCGCTTCCCTCGGGTCTCCCTTTTTCGCTTCTTGACTTCTATTCGCAAGTGCAATCTTATCGCACCGAAATCTTGACTAGTAGAGTCGTATTTTGCCCTGGTTGAATATATGCGTAATAGTGGAATCCGAGTAAGCGTGGGCTCTAAGAGGGCTGAAGAGAGGAGAAAGAGTCCAAAAAGCTGGAGCAAAGAGTCCCAAAGCGAGAAAACGAGTCGGAGAGAGGATTGAGTGGATAGAAGTCAAGAAGCGAAAAAGGGAGACCCGAGGGAAGCGAAGTGATCGTTCATGGACCAGCAGAGGTCGATGGGCGAGCGAGTGGAGAAACATGCAATAGGATCACAGGGATGCACAGTTGCACACAAAAACCGGGAGAACCCGGGGGGCGAAGAGAGTGAAAGTATATCCACCGGGGAGAGGGAGTAAGATTGGGAGAATATCCAGACGAGGCACCCAAATGGAGCAAAGTCGCATTGATCGAGGTTTTCAGTGTCGGTGTCGTCGAGGGTGGCCAGGAGCAGCATATACAGAACAGGGCAGGCGTGCGAAGAGCGAAGGCGAAAAGGAGAAATGGTAAGCTCATCAAGCGATTCCCCGCAGAAACTGCACTCGAAAAACGAGCAGAAAACGAGACTTACAAAGTACAAGAGCGAGAGATGCGAGTTAGGGGGTGTTAATGGACGAGGTCGGCTGGATGCGGGACGTCTGTATTTCTAGTCTAGCTCGATCCGGTAGCGGGTTCGGTTGAACTGGACGCGTGACGAGCCCCTGTCGATGCGCAAAGCCTGCGATAGCTCGTCGATGTTGCTAGCAGTAGAGTATAGTAGAAAAGGGGGATAGAGTCGCGCGAGATGGACAAGGTAGAGAGCAAAGAAGGAGCAGCCGTGTTGTGTGCTTCTCTCCCCTTCGTGTCCCCTCGTCTCCCTGGCCGTTTACTGCCACTGAATGGATTATTTTTTGTCAGCCCGTGTGTGTCGTCGGTTGGGTTTCGCTCTTCAACGGATCGGCCATTCACAATCCAAAGAAGTCGCAAGTGGCCAGGCACTCCTTTGAATCCCCCCACCTGCAGCCACAGTTATTCTCGCTAATGTCGCGAAAAGTTTAACGACTCGGACACTCTTATCGGGTCCTGTTGTGTCACCGTTCCGTCCTAGTATCCTCCGAGTCGCGTGCCATCACCCCGAGCAAGGCCCCTTGTTCTCTTTTCCAATGCTCGTAGCGTTTCACAAGATATAGGGTCTCTGGTATGTACACAATCTATGCGTATATTACGGTATCATTCATCGCGTTTTCTCCCAGGCCCAGACCTGCCGACGGAGCTGCAACTCTTTGGGAGCTCAGTTGACCACAATCATCACCACCACCACCGTAGCCCCCTCTCTTCGTGCATCAATACTCAATCGTCATTATATTCTTCCAGGCAATCTCCATTCTCGGCTCCCGTCGCGCCTAGCCTCTTGGTGCGATTCTACTCCGTCCTGGACTACTATGAACGCTTGTGCCTTGTCAGAACCTGTCTGCCGCCACATTTCTGGCACCCATCACCCCCTCTCCTGGCATATAGTTCACAGTAGAGTGCACTCGTGGGTGTGAACTACGGGTTGCGCTGTTGCTGGTTGCGGGTTTCTCAATGATCAGGCCAATTTAGCCAGGGACGCCATCATACATCACCACAGGCTCTCTCTCGCACTCACTCGACAAAAGCTTCTTTCCATTCTATCCTGCGACACACCTCTCCCGAACAAAGTCAAATTCCATTCAACCGCATCCCGAAAGCGCCCAAAGTCAGGGATGTTCGCTTACCAGGCCTACCCCTCCCCTCAAATTTGATAGATTGCAAGGCTCTTTATTTCCCCTTCATCCCTGTTACCATTTCCCCATTTTTCCCAGAATTTTCGACACACCGGAGATGGCCAGTGTCCGTTCAGGCGACTACCTCAAGCCGATACTCGCGTTGTCAAACGCCCGTCCCATCAAAAAAGGCTCGCTCACTCGTCTTCGCTCGCCCCCCCATTTATCACTCACTCCCACGTGTCACTCAGTCCCTTCGAAGCATACGCCGTTGCTAAGTATCGATTCCGTTTCCACGTGGGAATTCGAATCCCAAAGTACGCATCCCTAAATACACGTACAATATTCGGAATCTGGAATAATCACTGAGGGAGCTTTTCTTTGACTGTCCAACTCTTTTCGCTTACTATTCTCACCCGCCAGCGGACAGTTTTCACAAGTCGTCGTCGCCGTCCGACGTCCTCTTTGTGTCCGTGCTCCCGAGAGAGTGCCATGTCCACCTGAAACTCGTTAACCCATGCGGAAATGGGCAAATTTTGCAAGCCCCACTTAGCTACACCCAGCACATGGGCATCTCGGGCCTAAATCTCGATCCTTATTCCTCCTCGGTTCAGCCGGCTGCTGTTCCCGACTTCCAACCCCCACTTTCGACAGCTTCCCGGCCAACATGCACGGTTCAACGGCAAATCAGTTTTTCATTGTTACAAGGTAGGTCGTACGATACTCATGAACGAGAAGTACAACGTGGTAAGGCAGAAAATCCAAAAGCAAACCAAGCCTACGGACTGCTCGTTACTTTTGCCTTGTAGTTTACAATAATAGCTATTCGGATACACGAATAGTATAAATTCCCGGAAATCACTTCGTTCCAATCAGAGTGTTGTAAGCATTTGCCATATATGCCAGCGGATACCTTTCAGCTCACCTTACCCTTCTCTCGCAATGGGCTAGGCCCCTAAAGATATGAATAACCTTTCAATGCTCTAGTAGAGTAAGAAACTGTTAAGACCTAGCATTAAGATCACGTACTTGGATCCGCTGAAGGGCTACATCCGCTGACTGAATGCGCCCAGTGACAAGGTCCGCTGAAATATCCATTATAGGACGGGCGTCTCCGCGGCGATATCTGTGCTCCTGAGAAGATAGTAGCTTCCCAACAGACCAAAGGTCGACCTCTGCACCATGTCCATCAGAGAATACTTTCGGGTGGTGACTGAGGGAATTGAGATGAGGGGCAGCGCGTGTTGGAGCGATGGAAGAGTCTTCCCAATCAATCAAGAGCCACTTGCTAGTATCCGCAGAACTCCTCAAGATGTTAGGCCAACGGATATCTCTATGGTAAATGGGATTAGGTTCAGAATGCAGGACCTAGGTGATGTAAGTAGAGTATTTTATGCAGATAATGCCCCGCAGAAACTGCACTCGAAAAACGAGCAGAAAACGAGACTTACAAAGTACAAGAGCGAGAGATGCGAGTTAGGG